TACGGGAGAGCTCCAGTTGCCTAAGCAGCGTGTACGGGAGAGCTCCAGTTGCCTAAGCAGCGTGTACGGGAGAGCTCCAGTTGCCTAAGCAGCGTACGGGAGTGCTCCAGTTGCCTAAGCAGCATGTACGGGAGAGCTCCAGTTCCCTAAGCAGTGTACGAGAGAGCTCCAGTTGCCTCACATCCTCGTCAGCACCAGGATGGTTGTGTTTTTAATTTTGGCCATTCTTGTCAGTGTATAGTGGTGGTATTTCTTGTGTGGTGACTTTTATCTGCAGTACTTTGAAAATGTCTTTTGCCTGGCATTTTTCGGGCAAGAAATCTGCTGTCTTTCCTTATCTTTGTCCCCTGAATAGATGCTTCTCTCCTCCCACCCCCTCTACCCTGACTTGTTAGACTTCTCTCTTACTTATTTAAACAATTTGATTCTGGTGTTCCTTGATGTACTTTACTTCCTTTCTCTTACTTAGGGTTCACTGAGTTCTTCAGTTTGTGAGTTCATAATCTTCATTAAATTTGGAAAAACTTCTGTCATTATGTCTTCAATTTTTTTTTTTAATCCTCTTGCCCCCCCCCCACCCTCGGGTCAAATACACATCTCTTAGGCCACTTGAAGTTGTCTCACAGCTTATGCTCTGTTCAGTTTTGTGCTGGTTCATTTAAAATCATGTCTGTTGGCACGTCTCCATGTTCGCTCATCTCTGTCACGTCTCTTCCACTGTTGTTGCTCTCCCAGATTCTGACCTCACGTGTTCAGACTTTCCTCTAGCTTCTTGCTGCCCTTATCTGCTAATTCCGTGTCATCTGGGATTCCTGGAGCAGTTTTGATTGATTCGTTTTTTTCCTCGTTACAGTTCAGATTTTCTTGTTTTTTTATGTTAGGTTTTTTTCTTTTCTCTTTCCTTTTTTCCCATCTTTCTTTCTTTTTTGAGTATAGTTGACACACACAGCGTTACATGTCTGGTATTTTTTATTTAATGCCAGGCATTATTGATGTTAGATTTTGTATTCTTATAGATGTCTTTGAGCTTTGTTCTGGGATGTTGTGAAGTTACTTGGAAATGGCTTGACTTTTTTAGGCCTTGCTTTTAAACTTCTCTAGGTGGGACCAAAGCAGCATGAAGTGTAAAGCTACTTTCTTCCCACCACTGGTGTATGCTACCCAGTGCCCCTTTGTGCATCATGCCCTGATCAGTGTTCAGGTGGAGACGTGAGGGGGACCACCTTTGGCAGGTGTCCAGAGCTCTCTCCTCCAGCTCTCCTCTCAGTACTCTGTACTTTGAATCACAGCCAGTGGATTGTCTCCCTGGACTTCCAGCAGTGTGTCCATGATTCTCTGCTTGGGCTCCCTCCCCACCATGGCTCGGGGCAGCTAGAGGGTGCACCTCTCTCTTACCAGCCAGAGATGACTGTCCTTCATTGCTTCCTGTGCAGTGTCTTAAACTGTGTGTATGTGTCGTGTGTGTATGTGTGTGTGCCTGTGTGTGGGTGTGGGTATTTTAATGTTTCAGGTAAGTTAGGTAAATCTCATGTCTATAACTCTATTCTGAAGTAGATTTTTCAAAATTACTCAAATGATTTTAAATGCATTAAAACAATGGGGCTCACTGGCCCAGTGCAGTGCAGTGTTCTGGGATCTGGTGAGAAATCTGGCTTGTGACCGAGGTTGGAAGGGCTGCCTTCTGCCTGCCATCGTATGTGATGCATGCATCCTCTGCTCTGTTAGGTGTATACTTTGTAGGAGTGAATCTACTCAGTCAGCATGAGAGCTGACACCTGTAATTCCATTGTACTTTTTGGTGTCAGATTCATATTTATGTGTTTCACTTAATCTTTTTTTAGACTATCCTACCTACTCAGATTTTTGCATCTTTTAAAAATCTGTTTCTTTTAATGGAAAGCATGGCTTTTTCTAATAAAGGGATTGACAGTATTGATTTTTCTTTTTTAGAGATAGAGAGTGCGTGTGAGGGTGGGGGCGGGCAGAGGGAGAGGGAGAGAGGGAATCTTAAGCAGGCTCCACAATCAGCGCAGAGCCCAATGCGGGGCTCGATCTTGCAACCCTGAGATCATGACCTGAACCAAAATCAACAGTCAGATACTAAACTGACTGGGCCACTCAGGCACCCCGACAGCATTGATTTTTTCATATGAAATTTATAAGCCAAATGCTCTTCTTGTGATTACAGAATAATGTCAGATTTATCATTAGTATGACCATTTAAAACTATTTCCAACTCTTGTAATTAAGATTTTCAAAGTCTGTGTCCTTTAATATAAAAATAAAATGTACTAAGTGTTAAAATTTTTAGACCATGTAAGAAGGCATAAGAAAAGAGAACATTTAAAATTATAGTATTGTATCTAGAGATAACTATTAATCTGGTGTACTTCCTTTTAGATGGATTTTTTTTTTCCAAATTATTTTCCTGCTTTACATTTTAGTGGAAGACTTATGACCCTGCATTTTCCCAATTGGAAATTTGGTTCCGATTCGTCTTTGTGGTGCTTACCTTCATTGTCACTGTAAGTCCCATTTGCCTGACAGACCACGTCAGAATCCTAACAAGGGCAGAGTTAATTTATGAATTATGATTATCACAGTGTGAACCGTGGAGGTGAACCATAAGAGCCTCTTAACTATAGAGAACAAACAGGGTTACTGGAGGGAAGGCGGGAGGGAGGATGCCTGAATGGGGGATGGGTATTAAGGAGGACATGTACTGGGATGAGCACTGGGTGTTGTATGTAAGTGACAAATCACTTACTTCTACTCCCGAAACCAATATTACACTATATGTTAACTAGGCTGAATTTAAATTTAAAAAAAAAATGTGAACCACACAGGAGATTTATCTGAACTTAGATGCTCCATTCAACGGGCCGACCCGATATTACCAAATACTCCGAATGTCAGCTAGGTGCTACCGTGCAAAAAGAGAGCTTGGTATCAGTTCGTAAGGACCTCTGTGTGGTGTCACAGTGGTGACAGACCCCTTTCAAGTAAATGCTCATCAGGGTGCAATGACAGTGCCATTTCACCTGCCTTGTTTGAACGTCCTTCTTTTTACACAGGCAGATAATGGCACATGCTTGGATTTTTACGTTTGGAAAATTGTACCAGACCTTTTGGTCTCTGGGCTTTTTCAGGAGGAAGGCCGCAGATGAGTGGGTTTGGCAGTAGAAGCTTTTGACTCCTTTGGGCTCTGAGTTCAGTGTCTGCAAGCACCCTGTGACTTTGGGGGAAATGCTTACCCTTGAAGCACACGCGATCCCCACAGAGGCCCAGTCAGTGAAGATGGGAATTTAAAACTGGAGGAAGGATATCAATCCATACACACATACATACTGGAGGAAGAGGGGGCGTGCATTGGTACTCTGTGCCAACTGAAGGGTGATTGCCCATCCCTCAGCTGCTTGCCCCTTGCTGACACGGAGGGTGTGCCATTTAGGAGATTATCCCTCTTTGCAGTGGGGGAATTGCCACCCAAGCAAGGATCACTTCACAGTCCAACTGTACCCAGAAGGACATAGGCTCATAGGGGACAGACGTGTGAGAAAGGTGCCAGCTGGTGGTGACATGGGACCTGAGTGTGGATGGGGGTGAGGACATAGCCACTGGTGGGTGGTGGAATCTGCAGAGAGCTGGAGATCACGGTCCCAGCCATGCCCAGGGCTTCCCCTAACGAACCTACTAAAGCTGAGTGGAGAGCAACAGTTGGTGTTTGGTCAGCAGAAACCCTTGCTGTCTCTTGAAGCGTCTCTGTTGTCTGAGGCTCTGCTGCCACTCTCTGGGGCCCAAAGGGCGGGCACCCATAGCATGATGTTCTCAAACAAGAGAAATGAGCCTGAGCCTCACAGCCTGGGAGAAATGGCCCATCAGCCCAGGAAATCCAAATTCCCTAGGAAATCATTGGCTTATGTTAGATTACAGAAAAAAACAAAAACAAAAACAAACTCCAGGTCTTTTTATACAAATTGTGTAATGTTTTAAAGTACTTTAAAGAAACTCCCATGGCTCAACACAGCTTCTTCAGGGAGGTGTTTGAAAATAAACACATCCTCTGACCATGGTTATCGGCCTCATTTCCTTTTGTTCAGGGAGCCCTGGTGCCCTCCTGAGAAGCTGGTGCCATCTGCAGATGTCGCCTGGCTGGGAGCGTGTGGCCTATCCCCAGGGAGGTCCTCTGTGTGGCTGTGTGGGGCCAACCTGATAGAAGTAGCCTGTCCCAGGGGAGCTGGGAGGGGTGCGGGCAGGGGGTTATGGCCGGTGTATTCCCCGCCCCCTCCTGCCCCTGGGAGAAGAGCTTTGACCCTCTTACCCGCAGCTCCTTGCTGGTGATTCACATCTTATCTCAGGGCAGCAAGGGGTTAACTCAGATTTGGCTGACCATCGGTCTGCGAAGACTGACCATCAGTCTGGGAAGACTTAACGTGCTGCTGAGCAAGGCGGAAGCAAACACGGTAACTTGCGTTGCTGATTCGGTTCGCAGTGCCTGTTTGCACATTCCCTCCGGAAGTTTTCCATGCGAGACTGGGGGATGGAGCAGAAGTGGATGTCCATTCTTTTGCCTCTGCTGCTGCTTTACAATGGTAGGTGCCCATATTTGTTTTGGAGCTTTCCCCCTTTAAAGCGTAAAGCTGCAGAGTCTCCAGAAGAGCCTGGGCGCTGGAGGAACAGGTAGCCGCCACAGAGCGTGGGAGCTGTGTGGCACCAGGCGGACGCCTGGCAGCTCTCACGGACAAGTGACTGCTTGGGTAGTTAGAACCGGGAAGGGCCGCAGACACGGCCGTCTTGGAGCGTGGCTGGCGGCGGCCAGCACGGCCGTCTGTTCTCTTCCCCTGCTTCAGAAGGCGTTTGCTTGCAGAGCCGCCGCCGGACTTGCAGGCCTGTGGGAGCCACAGGTGGTGCGAGCAGACGGCGCTCTGTAGTGATCACTGCAGCGATCTGTTCATTGGCTTTTCGGTGTTTTGAAAGACAAAACAGCCTTTAGTTCACTACCTCTTTGGCTCTGACTGAGGAGAAGGTGATGGTGAGTCCTGCCCTCACCGAGAAGACAGATGCCCTGTGCTGGGTGGGGAGAGCCTGCGTCCATCAGGCCCTTCTGTCTGTTGCCTTCCAGATCCGTTCTTCCCCCTCTCCTTTCTGGTGAATAGCTGGGTTCCGGGCATGCTGGACGATCTCTTTCAGTCCATGTTCCTATGTGCCTTGCTGCTCTTCTGGCTCTGTGTGTATCATGGGGTACGCGTCCAGGTGAGTGTCCGCCCAGCCCTGCCGGAGGGGGTCCAAGACTCTGCCCTTTTGGCCCACACTCTGGTGACAGTCCTTACAATCAACGTCTCCTTGAGAATCTGTCTTCAGCCTCCGTCAGCAGAAGAGTTCATGCTATGTGGAAATGATCGGAGTGTCTGTGATCTAGTGTGGTCTACTAGGGGTTAATGGTTTGCTAGAATTACTAACTTATTTCTTATTTTTTCTTTGATTTTTAGGGAGAAAGGAAGTGTTTGACTTTCTATTTGCCTAAATTCTTCATTGTTGGACTATTGTGGTTGGCTTCTGTCACACTGGGAATATGGCAGACGTGAGTAATTTTGTTATGTGTGAAACCTCAGGCATGGAAAGCATTTGACAAAGGTGGACAGATCCGAAGTCTCACTGTATTTTGTGAACCCATCCGGAAAGGAATCTGTCACCAGGGTTTCAAGACTTGATAGTGTGACTTGAACTGAGGATTCATTTCAGCCTGACTGGCATGTAGGTAACACAGTTCTAGTCTCAGCTGGAAAATGAAAAACCACGTCATTTTAGATTTCTCCTTCAAAGTGGCAAAGACGACGTTGTCTGTAGGAATGGTACTCAGGGGGCCTGGCTCGCTCCTCCTCACCAGAAGCTTTAGTTTCTCCTTGGGCTTGCACCCGTGAACTCCCCATCCCTGCACCGGCTCCTGAGGCTTACGGTGACATAGTGGTTTTGTCCTTCTGTAAAGTGGGACCAGTGCACAAGCCTGAGGTGGTTACAGCCAGATGCACCCGAGTGGGATTTTCTGCAGAAACGAGTTCCATTCCAGGGTTATGGTTTTGGCCTTCGGCACGTCTGGCTCCATGGCCCAGTAATGACCGCACTCAGCCCACCTTGTCTCCCTGCCCTGTCCCTGCCTCCTCACAGCTACCCAGCTTCACTTTAAAATGAGTTGGTGGAAGTCGGCGTTGACTTTTATAGCTTTCTTTGTGTACTTGTCTCTCCCCAGTGCCCATACGTGCCATTGAAAAGTTGCCTGAAAACAGTTCTTGACGTTGCAGGAGAGATAGTATAGGGAGTTTTTGTAATGGAAAATACTGTAGCTTCACAGTATAGACAACTACAGGCAAATAGTTTAGTAGCACTAGATGCATTTCTAGTGTGAAATTTAGGATTACTTTTTAAAAATCTTACTGTTGGTTAATTAGTTTATGTTAATAAGATTGATTGATTGATTGATCGATCATCTCTACACCTAATGTGGGGCTTGAACTCAGAACCCCAAGATGAAGAGTTGCACGCTTTACTGACTGAGCCAGCCAGGCACCTCTGTTAAAAAGTTTTTGTAAAAAGCCAAATGAAAGTATATGATGAAAAGTAAGCTAGTTATTGATCTATGATTTTTTATAATACTGTATTTTCAGAGTTAATGAATTACACGATCCAATGTACCAGTATCGAGTTGACACAGGAAATTTTCAGGTAAGGATTATTAATGATGCCTGAGGGTTTTATTTAAATGCTGTTTTTAAAAAATACTCAATTTGGTAACTTAAATTGTGCTGCTGACATGAGCTTGCTAACTGGCTATTTAGGGGAGACTATAGAAGGTTCATGGGTACAAAATTTGGAAAAATGTGTGAGTAGTATGAAAAATAAGTTGTTTTTTTTTTTTTAAAAGATTTTATTTATTCATTCGAGACACAGAGAGAGCATGAGCAGGGGGAGAGGCAGAGGGAGAGAGAGAAGCAGGCTCTCCGCTGAGCCAGGAGCCGGACGTGGGGCTTCATCCCAGCACCCTGGGATCATGACCTGAGCCGAAGGCAGACGCCCAACCATCTGAGCCACCCAGGCGCCCCAAAAAATAAGCTTTTGAAAACAAAGTTGTCAGGGTGCCTGGGTGGCTCAGTCAGTTAAGAGTGTGCCTTCAGCTTAGGTCATGATCCTGGGGTCCTGGGATTGAACCCCCTCAGGTTCCCTACTCAGCGGGGAGTCCGCTTCTCTCTCTCCCTCTGCAGATCCCCCTGCTTGTGCTCTCTCTCTGTCTAAAATAAAAAAGATTTTATTTATTTGAGAGAGTGAGTGAGAGAGAGAATGAGCAGGGGGAAGGGCAGAGGGAGAGGGAGAAGCAGACTTCCCGCTGAGTAGGGAGTCTGATGTGGGGCTCCATCATGGGACTCTGGGATCATGACCTGAGTCGAAGGTAGATGCTTAACTGAGTCACCCAGGCACCCCAATAAATAAAATCTTAAAAAAAAAAGTTTGAAAGAATATTTGGTAGAAATTGCCCTCGCTTAGAAGGCGGCTATTTGGTGTGAAATGAGCATTCTTCACCTAATACGTCTTTTTGCTAAATGTCCAGACTTAGTTTTCCGGAACTAGAGGTAATATTTGTTTATAAACACTAAAATTCGTTTTTAAAAGAAGGAGGTCTTGAGGCGCCTGAGTGGTGCAGTCGGTTAAGCATCTGACTCTTGGTTTCAGCTCGGGTCGTGATCCCGGGGTCCTGGGATTGAGCCCTGCATCTGTAAGGCTCCCTGCTCAGTGGGGAGTCTGTCTCTCCCTCTGACACTGCCCCCGCCCCCATCTCACTGGCTCTCTCTCAAATGAATAAATAAAAAATCTTTTTAAAAAAAGTTGTCACTCCCATTCCTTGGTTTATGGTTGAAGCCCAGAAGTTGTGTCAGATTTTAGGAACATTGTAAGAGCAATTAAGAAAACATTTTTGTTCATTTAATTCTCTAAAGTCGAGAAAGGTTTCCAAGTGAATGAATGGAGCAGCCAGGCCAGCTTGTGTGGGCCTGCAGGCCTGGCAGCCACAGGGCCCAGCACCCTGGGTGATGCTCTGCTCTCACCAATTTAGAACACTTTGTACTTTCAGACAAGGGGTCCAGTGTCTTTATTTTACACAGAGGTCTGCAAATGGCAGTCAACCCCAAGTGTGGCTTTCCCTCGAGTCTCCAGGTTTATCGACATCCCTTGGCATCTCAGGGCAGCCCCTCCTGGGCGCAGCTGGCTGCTGAGCCCAGGTGTGGATGTGCGAGGAGCCGGGGGCCAGAGGGAGCCCTGCAAGGTGTCTAGGAGGCATGCTCCCAGCAGGGCAATCCCAGAGGTACAGAGTTGAATCCTGAGCTTGGGTGATATCCAGCATTTCTCTGGTTGCTTTGCGGTGCTTCCCATGAAGTGGTAAAATCTGTGGTTCTTTACGGGAATGGCCTCTGAGAAAGAGGGAGGTTTAGTGTGAATGATGGTATCTTGAAAGATGTGTAACTTGTGTTGAGACGACACATGTCATAGCAAGTGGTATGAGCACCTGATTCTTAACCAGATTTCAGCAGGGGAGTGCCGGTAGCCTTTCCATTCCATTATTTAGAAGTTTGAGGAGTTCTGAAGGTTGCTCGGTGTATGCCTTATGAACATTGTGCCATGATCTTTGTCCTCAAAGCATACAGGACCTTGTGAGGGAGAAGAAGCTTAGCAGTAAAGCACAGACCAGTGTGCAGTGTGCTGCCAGCTATGCCCTTACGGACAGTGGGCCCAAGTTACTAGGGGGAGGAGGTGTCTTTATTTGTGTTTTGTTCTTTTCTTAGCCTCATAATGCTTTAGTAAGTTTTTTGGGGGGAGGGGCTGCGCCTGGAGCTGGAGAGCAGGGGTGGCATTCCAGGCCAGGGAAGGGAGACGCTGTTGCAGAGTTGTGTGGGGCGGCGGGCCTCGGAGGAAGCCACGCAGGAGACCTGAGTCAGGGCAGGCCCAGTGAGGGCTGCGCTGAGAGGGGCACTGGACACCCCTGGAAGGCTTGAGGCCATGTGTGTGAGGGGCTGAGCCTCAGAGCAGCCTTTTCTTCTTGAGGGCAGGACACGAAAGGAAGGGCCAGGGAAGAGCTGCTTTGACATATTCTCAGGGAAGATTCTGCAGGCCCTAGTGACAGGTCATATACAAAGGGCTGTTGGTTGAGTGTAACTCCCCAGATTTAGATAAAATAATACAGGTTCGTGCTAATCTGTTACTAGAGCTTTTGTCTGGTCCAGTCCCCTCATTTTTCATGTCAGGAAACTGAGGGGCGGTCAAGGGTCTTGTCGGAGGTCACACGGGGCTAGTACCTGGGCCAGTGTACCAGCTTCCTGGACAGCCTGCTGGTCAAACCTGTGCTCCTGGGGGCCCGCCTCCAACCCTTCCGAGTCCTCTGTTTTCTCTCTGCAAAAGGGGTAATACTGCAGTCTCTCCTAGAGAGTTGTTGCGCAGGTTGGATTGACCAGGAACGCGAAGCACTTGGCCAGCACTTGGAAGGACTTGAGCAAGGCAGCCGTCACCGTGGTTATGGTCACCTCTCCCCTTCTCAGTCAGTGGCCTATGTCCATTACTAGAGGAAACACTGGAAACCAGAGACCTGCCGAAAACTGAAAAAACCTGAAGACCTGCCACTGGTGTATTGAGCACCTGCCACGTCCAGGCCCTGTGCTAGGAGCTTTCCGTGCGTCATGGAAGGAGCTTGGATTCTGGCTCATATGACTAGCAAGGGCTGGGGCTGTCCCCCTGGTGAGACACTTGTGCCCACAGACAGGAAGGATGAGAGGCCAAGTCTAGCCAAGGAAGTCGCCGCGGTGGGAACACGTTCTTGTTCTGTGCTATGGAGTGTGACCTTCAGGATTCTAGGCCCCTATCAAAAATGTTTGGCTTCCCTGCTTGTGGTGGTGTTGGAAGGAGGAGCAGTGCTGAGCCCCTGATCTTGTGTCGTTCTAGGGAATGAAGATTTTCTTCATGGTGGTGGCAGCTGTGTATATTTTGTACCTTCTGTTCTTGATAGTGCGGGCCTGTTCCGAGCTACGTCACATGCCTTATGTAGGTAAGTGCCACCTCACATACTGCCCAAGGCAAGGTGGGCCAGGAGTTGACCTCACACAGTGGGAGGGGTGGCTGGAGTCCACCCAGCAAGAGGCCTGACCTGGATGGGGACCTGTCCCACTCCCTCATGCTGGGGGGGAACCAGTGCCTTCAGTCCCTGGGGAGCCACAACAGGGCTGAATGGTTAACTCTGGGCCTTTTAGACAGTACCTCAGACCAGCACTGGAGGGAGGCCTGTGGGGTGGAAGCCCCCTGGGGCCCTGGGTGCCAATGTGACTATTGGAGCTGCCTGGATCCTTCCAGAATCGTACCTTGCAGAGGACGTGGCTGGGGCCATTTTCCTAGTCCTGAGTCAGGGCAACTCACCTGAACTCCTAGGATCCTTTCCCTCAATCTGTCACAACCAAATAATAATGGCCATCGTGTCTCTGGGGACCCTCCTTGACTCTGGGGAGGTGGGACAGCATTTCTTCTGGGCTTCAGGTGCACACAGGCTTAACGTCCAGAGGGAGGAGGGGTTTTGTTCAGGAGGCTTTGTTTATTTTTTTGTCTTTAGTTTTAAGCTCCCTGAGATGAGAATGGAATTTACTTCCCAAGTGGTTTAATGGGGTATTTATTTCTTTTTCAGATCTCAGGTTAAAATTTTTGACTGCATTGACTTTTGTAGTGCTTGTCATTAGGTAAGAAGACTTTATTTCTTCAAAGAAGCAAAACAGCGAAATTGTATTTTTCTGTCATGAATATCTTTTCTCCCCTTTTAACAGTTAATTTTAGGGCATTTCTAGCCATATCTGTTCATTAGGTCAGAGGGCCTCTTGCGCAGGGCAGGCACTGAGTGTGCACAGCGGCCGGGAGAGCTCCTGTTGTGTTGTAACCGCCCCGGGGAATGGCCAGGGACTGAGGAGTGTCCACCGAGCCCGCCAGCCCTGCGCTGGTGGAGCCCCTACTTGCTCTGCCGGCGCCGTGTTGGAGCAGCCACAGCCCAACGTGGGGTAAAGGACTAGAACGCCATGCGTGTGTACTTGGCACCTGGCATCCTTTTGGTGCTCCAAGGAGAGGACTGTGCATTTGAATTCGGTACCGTGGGTGTCCTTGACCTGCAGCACGGTGGCCCCGGGGGGCGGGGCCGCTGCGGTGGGGGTCTGCGGAGGCTGAGGCCCAGGGACAACGCTGTTTCTGTGAAAGCGTGCCAGGTCGTTATCAGGTTGTTTGTGGTTTGTCTCTTTCTGCTAAAATCCAAGTCCAGAGGGAAAAAAAATCTAGTCACTTTACCTTTCTTCCTTGGTGGTTTAGATGGCAAATAAATGGCTGCCAGCCCTTTTCCTAGGCGGGAACCGCATGGAGACTCTGAGAGGCTGGCTTTGCAGGGCAGCTCTGGGTTCCCCGGCTGCCTGAGAGGCAGCCTCCCGTGGGCACCCGTGTCCCTTCCCCTCTGGGTCGTGCTCATCGCTCACCACACCACATGAACTCAGCCTGGGCTCCCGTGAGCTTGCGCGGCTTCGTTCAGCATCCGCCTTCACCTGGAAACCGCAGTGCCCGCGTCGTGTAGGCAGCTGTTCCTCAGCGCCTGGTGCACGGGTGGTCTCTGCTTGCCACACGTGCTCCCTCATGCACCCTCGTGCCCTTTTACACATACGCACACTCCTCACACATGTGCTCACCCCCCCACACCCCCTCACACATACCACTCATACACTCCCTCTCACACCCCGTCACACACCCCCCA